TCTGTGTGTATGTGCTGTACATGTGGAAGAATTGACAATAAAGCAGACTTGACTTGACTTGACTAAAGAGATTCTTACGCTTAGGGCAGAGTCCTCCCAGTCCCTGTTTGGAAGGGGCCACGTATGCCAGACCCAGAGTGCCATCATCAAAGTCCTGATAGGTGAAGAGATGGGCAAGGCAAACTGCAGAGGCGTTGTCTGCGATGTCGTAACTGAATTGCTAAAGAGAAGTGAGATAAAGATGAGAAAGTGAGGGTCTACAAATTTGTGATTCAGGGCTCCTGATTAAAATTCTGACTCGTAAAAAACGGGCTCTTAAAAATTAAGCATTTAGAAGCTAAATTATGGACAAATTAGCTGACAATTTACAGAAATGGTCAAAAAAATGTTGGTTTATTGAGTGCATAACTTATTTACAGTGGGTATAGAAAAGAATAACCCCCTTTAAAATAATCACAGTTTGTTGCTTTGCAGCCTGAAATGAAGACGGACACAGCTTTTGTTTTATCCAGCTGTATTTACTCAGTGCAACTTATAACATCCAAGTGAAAGATAACACCAACATGTCAGAATTTTCTTTTTAAAAACTGAATCACTGAGTTTCCCCATTAAGAGTCTCCACATTATCCTGTCTTCACGTACATTTGTCTTACGTGGACAACCAGCCGTTTTGAAGGACTTGAATGAATTAGTATCATTGTAAAGCTGCAATATTCAAGAAATCACATGTTTTGGAACGACCAACTTCTCTTGAAATGGCTGAAAGGGTGATCCTTTAGCCTTCATCTGGACCGCCTCCTGTTGCAGGCTTTCAGTCACCTTAGAGCGGCCCGCCATCTTGCAATCTCAGTGAAAATTAGAGGAATGCTGCCAATTAAATAGGGTTTGTCATATAATTAAGGAAATTAGCACTAGGTGTCAGTAACACCAATGACTTGTAGGTATCTGTAAGTGTTCTCTAATTTTGATCAGAGATTCTTTTTCAAATATCTAATTGAAGTTTTTTTATACTGTGCTTCAGAATACAATTAATTTATGAAATATGCTTAAAAACTGCCCTTTTACTCCTGTTAGGATAACTTCAAATAGGACTAAGCAGCGACCTTAAAATGTAGGAAATTGTAGGTTGTTCTCTAATTTTGATCTCTACTGTATGTGTGTGTATTTATACATATAAATACAATTATTTTAGACACAGTCTGGAGCCAATAACATCTGACCTGAATACAAAGCCCATAAACTTTACTTTTATTGGACTGTTGTTGTGGATTTATCATAACATTTTAACCTGTGTATACTGTACTTCTAGGGACATGGCACTTACTTCCAAGAGCTTCTTCACATCCCACACACCATCCTTTCTTCCTAATGGGCTGCCGTTCATGTTGTAGTGAATCTCTCCGGGGGCAACTTTTGTGGGCTCCTTGTTTATGATTATCTGTGGGCATATTTACAACTTAGATGGCAATATAACACCCACAGATCAAAAACCTGGACTTGGACTCTTGAAAAAAGCAACAACAACAAAAAATCCTTATAAAAAGGCAAAGCATTGAGCACATGAACACTGTAACAAGATGGAAAAAGCATGAAATACATCAAAGTGTCAGTTAGAGGAAAGCTACTTCTGAGAAAAAGCCCAACATTAGGTTACACCTGGAGTTTGCTACAAGCCATGTGACAAATTCTGGAAACGTTTGTGGTCTGTTGAAACTAACATTAAGCTCTTTGTATTAGAGTTAAGCTGCTATGATCTATTTCACTTCAGAGTCATCTGTTCTACCAGTGATCGGAAGTGAAAAAAGCAGGGTTGTTTCTGGACAATCCTTTAAACCCGTATGACTTTTTTCTGTGGAACAAAAAAAGGAGGTGTTTTGAATAATGTTCTGGTTGTACTGTCCCATACAGTTACAATGAATGGACAGTGGGGCTTTCAAGCTTTAAGAAGGATGCAAAAGCAAGTATCATAAAAGTGGTTCATATGACTTGTGTGCTGTATTGCAACTCGTCTGAAGCCATATGAGAGCTTTGTGTGAGGAACAGAAGTCATACAAATACAAAGTTCTGTCACAATTCAAGTCATTATTCACTGATAACCTTCAACTTAGTGAGTTGTTAACTCAAGAAATGCTCATCATCAGTTAATGAGTTTTAATCAAGAACTGTATCACTGATTTTTCAATGAATAATTCCGAGTGGTTTAATGAACCATTTTAGTGATTCAATTTCACAAATCAGACATTATTACTTCTCTCACTAATGTTCCATTGATAGTTTGAAAGGATATCAAGATTTTCAGTGAATAATAACTCAAAAAAAATCATAATATAGTACAGTTGTATAGAACAGTTTTAATATATTTTTGTAGAGCCTTTGCACCATTTTTCACACTGTAAATCATCGACAATCCCTTTAACAAATAAGGACAGAAACTAGAGGGTTATCACACTTGAAATAGTTAACCCTGGATCATTCCCAGGTAAATGGAATCCTGGGTTATTTTGTTTCACATTTATAGCACTTGTATTATTGCAGACTGAACTATCAAGTTTTGCCTGAATGGACTTTGTCTACAAAGGTAAGAATAAAACAGTCTCTTCTTCACTCCAATTAACATGTTTTGTCACCACTTGACATTTTTCCCTTGAAACTCTGAAACGACTGTCTATACAATGTGCTATGCTTTCTTGACTTTCAAAAGCATGTGAATATGAGGCATGTGATTGCATGTCTGTCTACTTATAGCATTCTAACACCGCTTCGTTTAACACTATACATGTTTGGCACCGTATTGCTCCACTGCGTGGTTTCATAACCCTGGGGTAAAAAGCAGTGCTCACCCTGCTTCTAAATTACATGTGTGAAAAGTACCGTTACCCAGAGTTAAAAGCTGGATTTAGAATGACGATAACCCAGGGTTAACCATAGTTTGAAAAGCTCTTAGGAAAATAAAACTCATCTACTGAAGTAAGAAAAGAACTGAGGAGGATGATCCTTCCAGATTTGAACGATTAAGAGTTATTGAGGTCACCTGCTGAATCTGCACACCGTAGCCTTTAAAATAATCATCCCAGGATGTGTTTCTGTATATATCATCCACTCTGTCGATCAGCTCAATCTGAAAGACACAAAACACACAAATTCAATGCATTTTTAATTTGATATCATGGTGTTTATATGGACCTTACCCTTAGTGCAACAAACTGCTCTGTTGTATAGCACAACCACAAAATGTAATGTGTTCTAATTTAAATTGTAAATTTAATGTGTTCCAGTTGCATTGCTTACCAAGTAGTTGAGGGTGGTGCTCTCCTCTCCACGGCCCATGTGCTTGTAGAAGCGATGATCTGCCACTAAAAGCAGCGGACAGGTGTTCTTCTTGTGGTCATGTGCAGATCTTCTCTCTATGTTGTGAGGCTCTGTATTTAAGAAATAAAAGCATCTAAACATGCTGCACTATAAAATTAAAACGGAATAATTATTTCTAATTACTCAGTTCCAAAGCATCAATGCCCATAAACAGATCTACACAATTTAAAGCAACACAATGGGGGACTTCCATGACTATTATAATGGAGGACAAAGAATGAAGTTAATGAATTGAATTATTATGCTTTGTCTCCAGACTATGTTCAGTTCGCATAGCAGGAGGTTACTGCCGTGTGACCACATGCTTGAATGGGCAGCCTTTGTCAGACTGATGTAACTCCTACACACACACTCATGGAGTAACCATCTCGCTCATCATGAGCATGTGATGAAAGCTGAATATCTATTTTCTGTTTAGGTTACTATCATGATTAAATGTGTCAGTCTCGAAATGGCTGAAAAACAAAACAACATGTGACAATTACACTTACATTCAAAAGTTTAATGTTGGCTAGTTTTTTTTATTTTATTAGAAGAAAGTCTCTTGTGCTCACCAAGGCTGCATTTATTTGATAAAAGTATAGTAGAACAGTAACATTGTGAATTATTATTAAAATTTTAAATAACTGTTTCTATTTGAATATATTTAAAATTTTTATTTATTTGTGTGATGGCAAAGCAGAATTTTCAGCAAGCATTACTCCAGTCTTCAGTGTCACAGGATCCTTCAGAAATTCAAATCAGTTTTGTAGCTTAATATTTTTGTGGAAACGGTGATACATTGTTTTTTCAGGATTCAATCAATAGAAAGTAAAAACAACAACAACAACGCATTTATTTGAATTTTTTCTATTGATGTAAACTTTCATTTTTTTTTTAATCAATTTAATGTTCCTCACTGAATAAAAGTAATTATTTCTTAAAAAAAAAAATCTTATGAACCCCAAACTTTTGAAATGCTAAATAACTTATTTCATAGTGAAACAAAATATTTAGGAGCTAAATGTAGGCAGGGCTAGAATTTTCATAAGGATTTAGTAAGAGTGCAGCGCTTCTCAAACTTGATTCCATACGGTCCGAGAGTTCATTTGGTGGTTTAAAAAAAGAATATAATTGTATATAATGTAAGTTATGTCCATAACTATGGATCTATGAGACCTCACTCAGACCATCACCACGGTCTTATCCTGAATGGCGCCATTCTTCCGCCTATCCTCTAAACCTAATGATAACAATGTCAGGTGACCGTCAACCTTAGGGGTTGGCTGTTATATAACATCCGGAGGGACCAACCACTTCCTCCTGCCTGGAATGCCTCAGCTCCTCCCGAGTGACAAGGGATGGTGACGGTCATCATTCGTCTCATAGATCCATAGTTATGGACATAACTTACGATCTATTTCGACCTCACTCAGACTGTCACCACGGTCTTATCCTGGATGACTAATGCAAACAGAGTCACGAGGGACTAGTATCATTCCCTTCCCCTGGTAACTTAACAGCAGATAAAATGGCAGACCCCAAAGAATTTGGATTTGTCACATCAATCAAAATCTTGTGAACATGCATGGAGTGCTCCAAGAGGCCGCCATACATGTCTGAGAGTGCTACCCCCTTAAGTGCTGCCCAGGAAGTGGCCATACTCCTGGTAGAATGGGTGACCAGATCACCAGGAATAGGTAGATTTTGACTGGAATATGCTTGTGAAATTGTATCCATTTTCCAGTGAGACAATCGAAGGTCTGGGTAAAAAGCATCAAGCTCAATTACCTGATTTATTGTACCAGGCCTAAGGACCTTGGGTAGGAATAAGGGATTTGGCCAAAGATAAACCCCTGGATTTTCCTTCATTGACTGATAAAGAGTCCAATTCACTAACCCTCTTAGCTGAACATATTGACAGGAGGAAGACTGTCTTCCATGTCAGGAACTTTGGATCGGCTTGATCAAAACGTTCAAAAGGTGCTTTGACTTGTCAACGTAAGATAACAGTAAGATCCCAAGCAGGTGAGCTCATAACCCTCCCTGGGCATAAATGGTGTGCGCCCTTAAGGAATTGAGACACTAAAGAGTGTTTACCAATACTTACACCATCCACTAAAGAATGAAAGTGTGAGATGGCTGCCATATAGACCTTTATAGTATTAACTGATTTCCCTGAATCCAACAATGACTGAAGAAACCAGAGAAAAAAACTGGTGTCACAATTCTGACATTCTGACAGCGTCTAGCTCAGGGGTAGGCAAGTTCGGTCCTGGACTGCGGCTCTCTAGGACCGAACTTGCCTACCCCTGGTCTAGCTGATGGTCTTGACACCATGCTGAGAATATTCACCACTTGCTAGAATAGTTACTCCAAGTAGAGGGTGCCTAAAAATTATTTATTGTCCTCAGTACAGCTTCATCTAAGTCCTTAAGGAGGGACTGAGCAAAGGCCATACCCACAGTTATAGAGTATCTGGCCTCGGGTGCCAAATTTGTCCCTCCGCCTGAGACAGGTGATCAATTCTCCTCGGTAACTGCCTTGGATGACCTTGAAGCAAACATACAAGAGTCGGGAACCAGTGTTTCTTCAGCCATCTTGGGGCCACAAGTAAAACTTTGTGACGGCCCAATGCTACCATCCTGAGCACCAGGGGAATCAAAGGTAGAGAAGGAACCACGTACAACAACTCTTACAGCCATTCTTGAGTGCATCTATCCCTTAAGGGTTCTCCCTGGTTTGTTGTTTAGGGAATACCATAGATCGCAATGAGTTGTCTCCACCATCGCAAACAGATTGATCTTCGCCATACCGAACTGACCCCATATAAGTCTTACCACTTTGGGATGGAGATGCCACTCTACCGGAAGAGGACCAGTTCGAGACTTCTCAGAGCCCATCCACTACAACGGTGGGTGAACAGCTTCAAATTACATCCCAAATTAGACAGACATGTAAGGATAAGGGCTACACGAAGGTGTATCCAAACGTTGCGCTACTGCTGCTGCACAGGGGTTCTCAATATTGTCAAGTAAATGCTGCATACTCAAACAGGATGGGCATTCTCAATATCCATCTCGTGGGTATATATCAGCCTGACAAAATAAACATTTTGAGTGACTCATGTCAACAAACCAAGTTTAACTGTAACGAAACTCAGTTCTTGAAACCAAGTATGTTCGCAAGTTTGCAATCCTATAAATATATAAACTGTGACGAATCCCTGTCCATTAATTATCTTTCAAAGTCTGCGAACAGCACTCTTTGAATCACACAATATTACTATTTCCTGAGGCTGAAATTCAATTGTTCAACATAAACTTCTTGGTTTTTGTTGGAAAATAAACAAATTAAACCATTCACATATAGTTTGACGAATCACCAGTCATTAACTGTCCTTCAAATAAAGCCTGAGAACAGAACTTCTCAAAGATCAAAATTCACATAAGAAAATAATTTTCAAATATCCACCATTCTACGTGCATACACGCAGTAACCAGGATGGAAATATCAAATCCGCTGCGAACTGCAGACACAAACACAAACACCTGTAAACAGTATAATAAAGTAAAGAGACACTCACCAATGCGTGTTCCAATGACGCGTAAAAAATACAGAAATGAGGAGAAATCCACCACAATCCTCAGAGATTTAAAGCACCTACATGAAAACGTGACGGATTGGAACCACAATCTCTCCTGTGTTTGAGTTTAAATGCAATCAACCAATCCGGTCTCAGATGAGGCGAGAAAGGCAAAAGGAAGTGGTTGGTCCATCCGGATGTTATATAACAGCCAACCCATAAGGTCAGTCACCTGACATTGTTGTAATTAGGTCTCGAAGATAAGCAGAAGAATGACGTCATTCAGGATAGGACCGTGGTGACGGTCTGAGTGAGGTCAAAATAGATCTGCAGGGAATTCCAATAAATTCCTGCTCCTCAAATTTACTATTAAAAATAGAAAAGTTTCAGAACCTCATAAAAAAGGAAATGGGGTTAATTTTGATAACTTGTCTGATCTCCAGTCTCCAATACTAAGTGACCCAAAGTCCTCTGTGGTATCTTGTCATAAATATGTAAATACACACCCTGCTCCTGTTCTGTCTGTCCCACTGCTCTTGCCAGCAGGAGCTCCTGGGCATCAGCGTTCACATATCCACACACTTTAGGTGAGGACAGTCGACTGATGTTTTTAATGTCCTCTGAACGGTACACCAGCAAACGGCCATCAGAGGGTGACTCTGTAAACCGCCACAAGGGCTAAACGAAGACAAGACAAGATATACTGAAACATTTAGTAAAAATGCACACTGTGAAATTAATATCAAATGCTTTCAAGTATTAAGCATGTGTGAACAAATTACCTCTACATTATATTCAGCCTCTTCAGTAAGAATTTGGGCTGAAAACTCTTCACCATCTATGTGTGCCTGCACACGCGAGTGCTCCTCTCCTGTTGAGATAGCAAACAATATGTCAATGTATGATAATGAATCACGGATGGAAAAACAAGAAAATTCAGTTCTCAGCCAAGGCTGATATTCTCATCCCATGTCTTACCCACTACGTGTCCTTTATAGTAATTCTGTAACTGAATGTCATATTGGTCCTCTTTTCCATTCTTGTCTAAGAACACAGCCTTGAAGTTGTCAGAGAAAAGTTCTGTGTTGGTTGTCAAGTACAGCTTGAAGTGCCTTTGAAAAGAGATGTAATAAATGTGTTTTTAGTGCAGTGAAACTCTGAAGGAAGAACCAGCCTCTAATCATGATCTCTTGAGGTCAGGGGGTCAGAGAATAACAACCCAAACACTCCAACTCTCTCTTAAAAAAAAAAAGTTATAAAGATAGATAGAATAAAAATAAACCATAAATAAATGAAAATACATAATAAACTTACATCATAATAAAAAAAAATATTAAAAAGCAAAATATAATTACCATTATTTTTAGAAACCAGGGGTGGTCAGAGAAGAGTAATGCAAACAAAAAAATAATAATTAATACAGAACAGTAATAAATTATATATTACAGTTTTATATATTAAATATATAAAATACAAATTAATACATATACAAAAAATGCAAATAAATACTTAAAATATAATAAGGGATGGGCAGAGATGAATAACAAGCAATAACACAAAAAAATGTATATGTGTGTAGAGCTGCACCATTATGACAAAAATCGTAATTGCGATTACAATTACAATTTACATTGAATGATGTTTATACCAGTTTGAAGAAACTGCATGCCATATTTTTATATGAAAACAAGCTGAAAACACTCTAACTGAAAAACTTTTATTGCTTTCTCTAGTATTAAGCCTCAGATGTCAACTATACATCGGATTGGTTTCTTCTTTAAATAAATAAAAATATGCATGGTATTATAATGTTATACTAAAACTAAAACAATGGAAAAACGCTTAAGATAACCTGTAGAAAGAAGAAAAAAAACATCTTACATAAGGGGGTCTGAATACTTTCCGTACCCACTGTATATATACACTAGGGTTGCACGGTTTACCATAGTAGTATCTACGGTAGTATCGGAGATACTAAAGCTCCAAAATACTGGCGGTGCCACTGTATTTTTTAAAACTGTAGTATCATCATTACGGTTCTACCGTAAGTAATGTTGTATGTGGGGCAGTCACTAAAATGTTCGAACACTTGTGCCTGCAAATAAACAATACAATAGCGTCTTTTTTTGTCTTGTCGCCTTTCTGCGGTGCTCTTTAAGGACGAAAAATGTTGTGTAGAATTTGCGCCTTATATGTGACCCTGGACCACAAAACCAGTCTTAAGTCGCTGGGGTATATTTGTAGCAACAGCCAAAAAAACATTGTATGGGTCAAAATTATCGATTTTTCTTTTATGCCAAAAATCATTAGGATATTAAGTAAAGATCATGTTCCATGACGATATTTTGTAAATTTCCTACCGTAAATATATCAAAACTTTTTTAAATTTTTGATTAGCAATATGCATTGCTAAGAACTTAATTTGGTCAACTTTAAAGGCGATTTTCTCAGTATTTAGATTTTTTTGC